TAAAGCGGGCGCAGGTGTTCGGGTCACCCCCGCCAGGGCTCTGATGATGCAGGGGAAGCCATCAGAACCTTGGCGGGGGTGCCCCGACACCATGCGCCCCTGCTTGGGGGTCCCCCGGGGCTTACCTTGCACCATGGGAGGAGTTGCTGGGGTCCCTCTGCGCAGTGATTGGCGTTTGCAGAGGTTTGTCTGAAACCAATTTTAAAGTTCCCTCCTCTTTCTCCAGCCTTCAGCAAGCCTCGGAAGGGAAAAGGGGGGAAAAAGAGCATTTTTCCCTTCCGAGGCTTGCCAAAGACTGGAGGAAGAGGTGGGAACTTTAAAAATGGTTTCGGACAAGCCTCTGCAAACACCGATCGCTGCGCAGAGGGACCCGCGTGAGTCCTCCCATGGTGCAAGGTAAGCCCCGGGGGACCCCCAAGCAGGGGCGCATGGTGTCGGGGCACCCCCGCCAAGGTTCTGATGGCTTCCCCTGCATCATCAGAGGCTTGGTGGGGATGACCTGAACACCCGCGCCCGCTTTAGAGCACTTTGGAGGCTTTTCCTGCACCATCAGAGGACTGGCGGGGGACCTCCAAAGCTGGCGACTGCGGTGAGAGGACCCGCTGCCAGTCCTCCCATGGTGCTTCCCCAGTTCCCTACCCTTTTAAGTTCCTTTTTTTTAAAAAATCCCCTAGGAACGAATTAATTTTCAATGTATTTCTATGGGAAATTTGGTTTCGCAAGACGATGTTTTCGCAAGACAGCGATTTCCGCAGAGCGGATTAACATTGTCTTGCGAGGCACCACTGTATTAAGAGGCAGATGTCATTGCTTATGTAGTTAAAAGAGCACCAACACAAGAGCAGTGCTGGTTATCAACATGTGGCATCTCTAGTCACCTGTCAGGCTCCCTGCCAATTCCTGCCCTACACCCTTTCTAGTCTGGCATTCAAACCAACTGTAGGCAGCCAACTCGAGCAACCTATATATATATTTTTTTTCCACAATGCTGCCAGCCTGGCACTGTAAAGAGCTGGGGCAAATTTAAGGCTAGACCTAGCTTCCCAGCACTACTTGGTGCCATCATCAGAAGCTAAGTATAGTCACCAGAACCCACTGTGAGAGCATTTCTTGCTTAGAACCTGGAGCAACTGAGAGCAACCTACTTACTATATCTGTTTTGCATGATTTGCAGAAGTACAAAAAGATCTTCAGAAAATCCTAAAACAGAGAAACCTCCCAAAATAGGACTGAGGATGCTCTTTGGCCATTTTTGTTGACCGACTACGGAGGGAGGGATGAGAAAACCAGACGGAATAAGGGATGGAAGGGGATATCTTTGAGGGAGGTAAAGTTCCTTTGATCACCAACAGTCAGCAAAAGCTTTTCTTTTTTCTTTCAACTTCCCCTTGTCTATTCTTTTTTTGCTATTCATCACGTGCATGGACTATTTGAAGTTTTCATTTAATCCACAGGAGTGATTCTGGAGCTCTCAAAAAGCACTGTGTCACATTTACAAGTTTATCTTCACAACTAGGAAGACCCAAAAACTTGTTTTGCTACAAATGGAAAGTTGAATTATGTGGCCAACATCATTTTCAGAATTATTCTTAGTAAATAAATGTGTGAGATAAATGTGTTCACAACCTGCTAGGAAAGAAAAAACTGTGCCAGCAGTAACAATATTTTTTCTCTCTTTCTCTCCCTCTCTCCTTCATTCATATTTTTTCCAGTTTTCAGACTCAGAGCATGAAAAATACTTCACAAAGAAAACGAGGGAAAGAGAAATTACCAAAGCATGTTGATCCCATGTATGTCATCTGGATGCGTAACATTTAAAGGAGCCAATGAACGACAATGGGGAGAGAAAGCAATGGAAACAATTCAAATGAAGAGCCACAAGACTGAAGCATACAGAAAATGAACCGGTGAGCAAAAAAAGGAGATAGGAAGGGAAGCTCTATTAGGACATCTGAAGTAGGAAAAAATACAGCAAGATGCTTCCCAACAAGAGCCAAGTTAGGAACATCTTTGCATTTTCCTTGACTTTTTGATGGTGTAGCATGTTAGGAAAGGAGGAGACGGCACTCGTACCTTTGGTACTTTCGGGAGCATGTCTGAAAATCAACACAGTGGGGTTGGCACTCTGGCCCCAATCCAGATATCGAGGGGCAAAGAACCAGGAGGCGTGTTTGCTTCTCCGGGAGTTTCTGGCACATCTCTATGTTATAGTTTGGGTAGTGTGTGAGCTAGACAGCGAGGGGAAGTCTTAACTGCCTCGCAAAAGAAGGGGGCTCGCCGTCCCCTCACAATCTGGTGTGAGTGTCCACCATGCTGCTGCATTTACCAGACCAAAGACAAACACAGCTGTATTTTAGCCCTGCTTCCCTCCCAGAGTTATGGATCAGGTGGGTCCTCTTCCACCTGTGGCCAAAGGAGCCATCTTCAGCCCAGATGGGCCCAAGAGCCTGCCCGTGAGGTCCCGTGTCTTCCTCTGCTGGTGGGGGGGAACCACCACCCCAGCGTGCTGCAGCTTTCCCCACCACGGGTGGCCAGCTCAGAGGAAATCAAACACCCCGTAATTCTTGGCTGCTCGACAGAAAGGAACACAAAAAAAGGACGAGAAGAAAGAGGGCATGTGTTTAGGACAGGAGCTGACATGGAGAACACAGGTGAGCCACGAAGGCTTCACAAAAAAAAATGCAGATTAATGGGTTAGAAAAAGTGTTAGGGGAGTAGCACAAGCAAGGCGGGGAGGGGGGTCTGCCTTAGCAATCAAGTCCGGGGAAGTCAGGAGAGGCTGCTGGGTCCACTTGCAGGCAAGGATTAGAAATCAAACATTTAGTCCAGTTTATTTTCTTTTTTGCTTTCCCTTTCCATAATTATCAAGAAAAAAAAAGACACATCCCACACAGACTGAGTCTGGTTTCTTCCTAGGAGACAAACCGATGGGGGGGCAGCAGACAAGACAGGGAAAAGAGGGAGGGACGGTGCTTCACATTACATCCACAAAGAACTCACTGGGGTTGCCCATGGCCATGCGGAATGACTGTCTACTGGCCGTCAGTTCAGGAGGCACAGAGGCCAGATCTCGGCCAGGGGGGGCCCCCGGGGGTCCCAGGGCAGAAGGCGGTGGAGGAATCAGGAGCATGGGAGGGTTGTAGAGAGGCGGGAGACCTGGAGGCCCATAGGACTGCTGGCTGTGGTGGCTGCGGATACTGTGGGCCATGGAGTGATGGCTGCGCTGGCTGGCCGGCACAGAACGCTCGCTGCCGGCTCGCTCCCGCCGGATGCTGCTACGGCTGGTGTGGTCGGATTCACTGCCGCTCCCTCCCGACTTGGGCTCTCCGGTCTTGGGCTCTCGCTCCTTCCTTCTCTCGCTGCCACTGCGGTTTGAGCCGCTGCTACGGCTTCCTGCCCAAGGAGTAAGCATGGAGGGAGGAGATGATTAGGGACGAGGCTTGGATGGGGCAAAAGAAAAGCCCATCACTTTGCAAGACAAGGCCAGAAGTCCACTGGGTTGCATGGTCTGCTTTCAAAAGCAGCCTGTTAGAGACCTCCAGTTTCCCCAGATTTGGCAGTCCTCAGAACAGAGAGATTCCCATTTACCTATCCCAGTGAACAGGGAGTGAAATACAGATTCCTCTATATATTTGTAAATCTTACCCTTTTACACATTTTCCCTAACAGCAGTTTCAAGGGAAAATACAATTCGACCTATGCCATATTCTGATCCAGGCCCCAACAACTTCTCCACCATTTTTATTTACTTGTACCCATCTTACTTCAGCTGATGTACGGATGTGGGCTATGAGAACCAAAGGAGTAATTTGACTCAAAGAATGAATTTACAGACTAGGATGCAGCTTGAGCACTCCAGCCAGAAAGCGTAACGATATAGCTACATCAGGCCTTGTGATGGCAGGGAAACTGAATAGATCCATGTGTGTCGAAGGCTGGATACAACCAAATGGAGACACATTTACTTATAAATGTCATCAAAGAACGCAAGAGAATGGTCATGTCCTAAAGGAAACCCAACATTCTGAGATGGTGTCTCTGTGAATAACAATAAAGCTTGGAAATATATGGGGGACGGCTAATGTCCAGAATGCTCTAGTTCAGCAGTTTTCAATGGGGCTATATGGCCCCCTGGGGGTGGCACATTTGAAGGGGGTCACTGATCCATCTGTTTATGTTGTATTCTTGTTTACACACATCCAAAGGCCTTCCTTGTTTGGCAAAGGGCCCTGGAATTTGAAAGGTGTGACCAAGAAAAGGTTGAGAACAGCTGCCTAGTTGACGTGACCCGTTAACTAGGGGATTCTGAGACTAGCAGTCCGCGTCGGTAATTCTTGCAATATCTGAAAAGCCACTTCAGTGAATGCACTGAAGGTAAACAAAAGGGGACGATTCCATTGCTATGCAATAATATAGTTCTTCTATTTCTTTTTGTTTCTGCATTCATTGGCATCCCACTTTACCAGCTTCCATTATCTTACGTGAAAACAACTTAAAAGCAGAGGAGAGGGAACACAGCAACAGAAATAAGCCAGAAGGGGCAACCCGCCTACCAGTGAATAAACAAATCCTAGAGTGTCTTCAGAAAGCATCACACTATCACCAGGGTAAGAGCCAAATGTATCTTCTATAACTCGATAATCCTCCCTCCTTTCCCCCTGGTTTCTCTGCCCTTTTAGTTTTCAGATCATCTACTTAAGACTGATGGGGACCATTGCTTCCTTGACACCAAAGGAAGATCACAACTGAGCAAACATGGGTTGTGGGATAAAAGTTTTGACCCTTGTAGGGATCAGAAGAAATACAAAACATCCGACCCATATCAGGATCTTTGCTGTACAGGAAAAAGACCCAGTAATTCACACCCTACCCTGTACATGTTTACCTTCACTATGCTGGCTGCCTGCACTGCCTCCTCCGTAGCTGTAGCTTGGATCAGGAAATCCGGGATGCGGGTTGTATGGATGGGGTGGTGGGTACTGGTATGGGAAGGCTATGGGCCACGGAGCAGCTCCTGGGTGGGGTAATGGAGCCAACGTGTCCTGGTCAGAGGCACCACTGGATCCGTCATGGTCATGCAAGGACAGACTGGCCATGTCTGCAAAATTGAAGAAGGGGGGAACAAGAAAGGGCAACGGTTACCTGGCACAGCAGCACAAGGCAGGCTTCCTCTCCTCTCTGACTTAGGAAATTCCTATTGGACTAAAAAAGTGCGTGCAAGTGGAAAATGATAATGGGGTGGGATGTATACAGCTTGGTCCCCACAAAAAGAGTGAGTGTTATTGTCGGATTGCCTTACAAGGCAGCACCGCATGGCAAAGGGCAACCTCAGAGCTCAACACGTCATGCCAGGATATGCCAGGTGAGCTCTTGGGCTCTCTTGGGAAATAAACTACTACATGGGATCCTATCGGGGTTTTGCTTCTGAACTCCCCCCCAACCCAAAGTGCCAAAACAGGAGCCGTACTGCCACAGAGATCGCCGAAGATGTAGTAGCACTGCTCTGAGAAGGTGATCTTGTTGACGGTGTGTCGGATGTAACCCGCCTTGAGCAGGTTGCTGGCATACTTGCGGGATTCCCGCCGATCTGTGAAACCTTCCACGTGATGGTAGAGCCAGTCTACCACATCCGATCCTGCCGAGAAGGAAAAGCAAGAGGGGCTCAGCAAAGGGAGGAACAGGCAAGAGGGGAGGAGATCTTGGGGGAGAGGCAACCCTGGTCCGAGTCATAGGCATTGACAGAACTGTCCCTTCAAATGGTGTGCAAAGGGGTGTCATGGTTTCTGTACCTGGCCTGGCAATGTACAGTACCCTTACCTGGAAGTTCAATGGAATTTGTAATCAGTTCTCTGGCAATGTGACATAAGCTCTCTTATGAGTTGTGGATTGTGATCCCTAAATATATGCAACTTGCATTCACATCCCTAAACAATTTTGGCTGAGAGTTGTGAGATGATAATTTAAGGGCCTCTTAAGAAGAAAGTGGAACATCAGGGGTCAGGTTGGGGAAAGAGAGAGAAGATATTCAGGTGTCGTGACAATATCAGATGGAGTAAAGATTATCTTTCTGAGTTGTTAAACGATTATCTCGGCGCTGCACCCAGCATTTGAACAGCGTAAGAGGTTCTGGAAATATCACCTTCAAGGAGCAGTAATATATAGCAAAGAAAACAAAACATCTTGGCAACCTGTTAAACCGAGCTAAAGCAATGCTTCAAATTAAGAGCCGTGAACCAGAAAAAATGTCTTTTCAGTTTGAATGTTTCAAGCAGGCCATAATTCTCTCAGACTCAACCTCACCCCCAAGCCCTAAGGCAGCTGCAACGATGTAATGCAAAGACAGTACTTGAAACACCTCTTGACATCCCAGATAAATGCTGAGAATTGTCTATAATTTCTCAGGTGGATGCTGTTACTCAAGTTTCCTAAATCATGTGTTTTGTAAGTTTTTTTTTAATGACAGGTAAGAATCTTAGGAATCTAAATCCAAGCCTCATTCTGTAAGATAAGCATCCCTGAAAATCCACTGATTTGTAGGTGGTTCTTTAGAGGCATTTGCATAGTTCTAATGTGTCTTTCCCACAACATGAAGCAAACATCTTCTATGTACATCAGGGGCTCCAAGGGGCTCGGCTGGAGAGTCACACCAAACCGCAGGGCAGCCCTCTGGCAACCCTTCGCCGGTTCACCCTGGAAAAAGACGGGAGGGCTTACCAATGAAAGCGTTGGGGATGGTGATCTTCAGCCACATGCGGTCGCGGACCTCCAAGCCCGACTCTGGTGAGGCCATAGCTTTAACGATAGTGGCCATGTCACTGTGGATGGACAGGTGAAAGTCATCGAGGCCTGAAAGTGGAACGGAGGGAAGGGAGGCAGAGATGAGAGGGGACGGAAAGGCGCAGGAGCACATGGAGGTGCCACACACAGAGGGATGCGAGCCAAGGAACAATACATCACAGGCATCTCCCAGAAACCATGAAAGCTTCTTCTACCATCCCTCTCTAAGAAGAACGTCTTGCAGCAGCCATCTGCTAGGACGGCTCGTGCTGGGTTAGAATATTCAGGGTGGGGTGTTTTTTTTGGCATGTCTATTTTATGCCTCCCTTCCTGTGAACTGCCATCATGTGCAGTCCAACCACTTTCTCGACCACCATCTTTCTCATTCCTCCGCTACCCTACCAATTTCTTTAGAAGCCTGAAAGGGACTAGCATAGAACTTATGGTGGCCTCCCAAACAGGCACTACATGGGTATGTGCTTACTTAAGATCAAAAATGCTGCAGCACCAATATGCTCCCACACTCGTTTCTACCCTGAAAACCCAATTGCAGGCCAGGAGGGTGAGGCACCTGACCCCCAACTTGGGTGGTTCTCCAAACAATTCACAACACTTCCAAGCAGCATTCCGCCTTCTCTTTGTTCTTGAGTATCCTTTCAGAACAGAAACGATACTCTCCAGGGCTCAGTATCATGGCTGCCAACTTCCTCTACCATCGTAAGGGGAAGAAGACAGCACAACTTCCATTCGAGAAATGCCCAGCTATTGAAGTTGCTCCAGACCATTCGTCACCTTCAGTTAGCCACCTCTTTCTTCAAACTCACCGCCATTACTCCCATCCATTTATAAACCGCTAGGCGTTATCTTGGGAAGACAAGGGCTCTTTCCACTTCTGGAACATTATCTCACTGCCTCCTGCTTATGCAATGACTTGCCCAAGAGAAACAAGAACCTACAATGTTTACAATGTCTTCCCCTCTCAAAATGCATCTGATTCTCCCAGTGGTCATGTAAATACACCAGCACTGCTAAAGCTTTCTGAGACAATGTAAACCATCTCCTTTTCACATGGCTATTGTGATGGGCTATTAAATCGCTTTTGGGTTATGGCGATTCTAATAGGGCTTTTACAGGTATATGAGATATTCAAAGGGTGGTTTACCATTGTCAGCCCCAGTGAGTATCCATGGCCAAGTGGAGATTCGAAGCCACGTCTTCCGAGTTGAGTCCAACAATCTGTCCATTCCACCCTAACAACTTTCACTTTCTACTTTACCTAGCCTTATAAAGGAGTTTCCTTCCAGCTGTCTCCTCCTCTAGTCTCTCATTCAAAACATTCATCTCTCTGTCCTGCCTGGTCCTCCCCTCCTTCCTTGCTAGACTTAAAGTCATTGATGAAGACCTAGAGCTGAGTGGAGGACTACAGTTTCCTCTGAACCCACCATGGGAGGAAGTGTCACACCCTGCAGACTAGGCTCCTCAAGGTTCAAAAGTCTTAGCCTCCAGAAGAAGCCAGTGCTGTGGCTGAATCAGAGAAGGAGGCTGGACTGCCTTCTGGGCCTCAAGAACACCACAAGAAGTATGTACAAGTCCAGTCAGAAGTCCAAGGTGAAATGCTTGGCTGCAGAGAAACATTCCTCAGGAGACACAACCTCCTAGAGACTAGGTTTTACTTTGAAGGGCTCTCCAATTCTGGCTTTCGATCTCCCGTACCCGATTAACCTGACTCTCCAGGAGGGCTCTGTCTCCTACGTTCCTGCTCCCCACTCTGGGAATAGGACACTCTGAAAGTTCTCAAAATATGTTACAACAGATGGACAAAGGAATCATTCCCCCGGGGGAGCGAAAAAAACAACCCTAAACGTCAGATCCTTCTTTCCACTTTCAGTTGAGGTTTCTGCCCCTTGGCGTGTATTGCTCCTATCAGGCAGGCGTAAAGGTGGGTGGAAGTGGAACAGGGGATGGGGAACACACAAGCACAAAGACTTACGTTCGGTTTCTGGGATGGAGCTGGTGATGGAGGAGCTGGTGGATGTGATTGTGCTCATGGATGGGCTCATACCGTACGCTGGGTAGGTGCCAGTCATCGCTGCCGTGTGGGAAACCCAGGCTGCTGGGTCGATGGGTCGGATAGGCTCACCTGAAGGGAACACACATACACACAGAGAACGTATGAGGGAGCCGCCCTCCTCAAGGGGCCATTCCCCTCTCACCAAACCCAAGGCCTCTGGGCAGCCCTGTTCTCCCCCAGCAATAGCCGGGACTCACCCGGATCGGAGCATGGAGAGTCTGGCCCAGCCCAGATCCGCTGGGGAGCAACTAAGGGAGAAAGAAGAGAGGGAAGATCACCAAGAGAGATACAGAGGGAGAAGCTCCCCTGGGGTGGAGCAGGAGGCAGAGAAGGTGGGCACGAGGCGTTGCTTCAAGGCAGAGCATTGGCTTGCTAGAGAATCGGCCATTCGTCTCAGCCGTGATGTAAAAGGAGGGCAACGGATTCGACCAGGGGTGAAAGAAAGGGGGAGAGGAAGATGCAGACAGGAGGAGACAGCAGAAGCACAGAGGGGCCACAAAACGAGGAGGGCTCAGAAGCTCTGTTTCTTTCTCAATCCTTCCAAGTGACACCACATTTCCAAAGAAAGAAGAAGTAAAGCTTTTCTGGGACTGGACTACTTCAAGGTACTTACATGGGATCGCATCAAAAAAAGTCTCTAAAATGCTAGTTTTCTGGGTGTAATGCATCCCTACTCCTCACTCAGGTGGGAACATGGAAACACCTAATCCCCACCTGCATTCTTCAGCAGTAGTCTAAGCCAGAAAATAAAACCTTTAGGTACTATATAGAATCCGCACGCCACGACGACTGAACAAAAGGTGAACAACCAAATCAAACGAAAGCAAGGCCACTTACTCCTTGGTAAAGAGAAGCAGCCCCTCGGGCTGGGATCCCAGCACTTGGCAACGGTCAACGTGATGGGCCTGCAGAAACACAAAGATTATTAGTGCTCGCAGAGCTGGTTCATCCAGGCATTCCCAGGCCTCACAGAAAAAAGAAAATGGAAACCACCCACTTCTCCTCCACAAGATGATGCTGAATGAGCACCTCCCATGGATTCTCCCTGCATGGGCTGGAATCTCTCCAATGCTCAGTCCTGGGCTACTCTCATTTGTTTGTTTGTTTGTTTGTACGTACGTACAGTGGTGCCTCGCTTAATGAGCACACCGTTTAACGACGAATCCGCATAGCCACAATTTTGCTTACCGATCTTCACATCGCGATGTTTTTACAACAGCTGATCGGCAGTTCCAAAATGGCCGCCGAGTGCCCAAAATGGCCGCTGCAAGTGTTTTCGCGGCCTGCCTTCGCTTACCGAGGGCGTGAAAATGGCGGCGCTACGGAGGAACTTCGCTGAGCGGTGTGTTTGGGCCCCACAGGAATGCATTAAACTAAGTTTAATGTGTTCCTATGGGGTTTTTCGATCCGTTTAGCGATGTTTTTGCATAGCAACGATTAATCCGGAATGGATTAACGTCACTATGCGGGGCACCACTGTACGTACGTATGTATGTATGTACAATTATATCCCACCTATCGAGTGACCAGCATTACTCTGGGCAGGTAACAGCAATAATAATTTAAAAAACGCCTACTACCCACCCTTAACCCACAAAGACATAAATGAGATCCAAACAATAATAACCCCAAAAAATAAAAGAAACCTAGAGGCAATGGTGATTCAAGATCAACATCTAACTCATGGATCTATAAGGATGTCAAAGGGATGTTCCTGAAGACCTCTTCAAACAGTACGGACTTTACACATTTCCTAAAGGCCAGAAGGGAGGGAGTGTCTGGTGTATATCACCAGGCAGCACATTCCACAGACTTGTGGCCACCACCAAGAAGGCCCGGTCCCTAATAGTAGTTTTCTGGGCCCTTCAAGGGGAGGCCAGCCGCAACTGCAAAGCTTGGCTGGACTGGTTTATTAATCTTGGTGAAAGGGGAAATTATGTGTTAGGCCAAGAGCGCTTGCTGCTTAAAACTGCCTGCTGCTAGCAATATTTCAGATTCACAAAACCCCAAATATTGCAAATGGACAGAATGATAGCTGGCATTATTATCTTTGCCTGCATATGACTATATACACCCTTTTATTTCAGAACTGTTTTCCTTGATCTCCACTGCTGACCTGGCCCCAGCAGAACACACCAGGTCCCATCCACCAAGTCCACATTCTGAGAGGGTACAAGACCCCGAGAGAACTTCCATTATTAGAAACCATCAAGGCCTAGCACGGCAATCTGCAGTAGAAGAGGGTCAGAGGAAACAGAAAAGGCAACCCTACCCAGGCTTGTGTACAATCTCCCTCAGCACTCTCACAGCATCATCGTTGCTCATGTTCTCAAAGTTGATGTCATTCACCTGCAAGCACAGATAAGAGGCCAAGTCCCAAAAAAGTGTACAGGTCATGTCCAAACACATGACGCTGCCTGATAACATAAATGACTATCTTTGCCACTAATATCTATTGCTATTTATAAAGGCTCTCCTTCCCAGCTCTGCTACCCGACATCCTCTCAAAGGGGAAGTGCTAGAAAACAAACAAACAAATTTATAGTTACATACCGCCTAACTGGCCACTCTGGGTGGTTTACAAATGCAGTAATGAAAGCAATAATATAATAATAATAATCTTAGAAATGCAAAGCTGGAAGGGACTCCGTGGATCATCATGTCCCTGTCAAGGAGGCCCAGCGGGGGAATCAAACTTCCAACCTCTGGCTTTGGAGCCAGAGACCTAAACTTCTGAGCTATCTAGAAGAAACAGTTTCATCTGGTGTATTGTGGGACTAATAGCCCATGTGTCTATGCAGTGCTTCCTGAAAGAAACATGAATAGTTTTCTCTCGCCTTCTGAACATTCCTTTACATAATGACAACATCATCTTCACCAAGGATAGGCAATTTAGGGAGACGTAATGGGTCATCCCCCACCCCCAAGGACAGCATCCTGCAACCACTATGTGGTATTGACTCTTAGCAATAGAAACGTAGAAAGCCATGCTTAGGTTTAACTGCATTTTTTTCCTCTGAAACAAAACAAATGGGGCCTTGTTCTTACTGGAAATATGGAAGCATTTTTGCCATGACAGCACCAAAGGACAGCAGAAGGACACAGATCATGTGTTGCCTATCTTTGATTTACGAAACAAAAGATGTCAGGAGACTCCAGGCACTCTGAGGATCTTGCGTCCTTTGTGGACCACTGGGTTTCTCTACGGCACTTGAATGACATGCTCCCAAGAGACCAACGCCAGGTTCTCTCCCATGTATGCTAGGCATGATGCATAGGTCTCACCAAAAGCTTTGGGTGCTTTTTTCATTCTGATGAAATGCAATCCACCACTTGAATAGGAAGGAGTTCAAGGTCACCCCAGGGTCAACAGCTTCTGTGACAAGACTTTCCGCCCTCAAAACAAGGCCTCTTGGGGACACTGCTCCCTATGGTTCCAAGACAAAACATTTTTAAGAGGTACCTGCAGGAGCATGTCTCCGGGCTCAATCCTTCCATCTGCTGCCACAGCACCTCCTTTCATGATGGAGCCAATGTAGATGCCACCATCACCACGCTCATTACTTTGTCCAACAATGGAGATGCCCAGGAAATTGTACTTCTCTGCAGAAAACAGCACGTGCCGTTAGAATTTCATTCAAACCGTTGTCACTGTATAAATTAATCCAGTCAGGCAGTCCAGTAACTCAAAGGGAAGTCTACTAGGATATCATGCAAGTTCTTGGTGACAGTATTTTTAGAAGGCAGAAAACAGAGAGATTTTGAGGGACGGTATCATTGCTCAAAATCATCTTGTTTGATTAGTAAAATAAAATGGAAACTGCTAAAAAAGATCGGCAAAGCTATTTTCTGTTGGATATGAAAGAGGATGTCTGTGACTAAAGAAATTAAAATAGTTTGCTCCTTGATAATTTGACAAGCTCCATCACAAATGTTTAGCTTGGGGCACAGATTTTTAGGGAGAACAAACACAACCTGTATTTTATTCAATGCGAATAATTAGGCTCCTCGGGAAGCCGGAGTGACACCTGCCCTGGATTTCAGGTGAAGAAAACATGTTAAGAAAAGGAAGGCTGGGGTCAGCTGGAGAGGAGTCCGGGGCAAACATTCAGCCCTGTGATTATTATCGAGGTTAAAGCCTAATGGATGGGTTTGAAGGTTCTGGAATACAAAACGGGCAAAAGAGGGTTTCGTAAACAGTGACAATACCTGCCCCAGTGTTTCTCTAATGGTACAAAAAGTTTGGCAAGCAACAATAAAACATATTTCTTTTTGTTTAACTAGTTTCCCCTTGGCCTTCCTATAGTCAGGTAAATAAACCACAGGGTAAGTTAATACAATCTAAAACAAAAAATAAATACGTAAAAATAAGTTGCACAAAGATTTTGTGGAACATTCTGTAAGGGCCAGAAGGGAGATGTGAAAAATAGTACAAAAACACTGGAAAAAACACTATGCAAATTTCTACATATGGCTATCTTGGATATTGGTAAAATATCTTTTTTTGGGGGGGGGGACATCAATTTGAACATTGCCTTCCACCCAGCAGAGCCTAGTTATGAACCTAGATAAGAGTCAAAGCAGTTCAAGCAACCATTCTTTTTTTTTGGGGGGGGGGGACATCAATTTGAACACTGCCTTCCACCCAGCAGAGCCTGGTTATGAGCCTAGATAAAAGTCAAAGCAGTTCAAGCAACTGTTTTACTCACCCATGTTGAGGGTAACGGTGATTATATTCAACGACATGGTAGAATCTGTGATGCTACTGAAAGAGGAAGACTGCAAGAAAACAGAAACAGACCAAAAATACAGCCTATGTCACATTTACAACCACAACAAGCCCTGAATCCACTGGAGAGGAGGTACAGCACAAGCCCTGAATCCACTGGAGAGGAGGTAAACATGTCCTCAGAGGCTCTCCTTTGCCTGCCTGAGCCTCCTTCTACCTGTTCTCTGGATAATGGCATCAGCCCCAACATTTGTAAGGTCACTCCTGGCACTTCCACAACCCTAAACATCTCTCCCAGCCATCTCACCCGTTCAATACGTGGCGCCTTCTGTTTCCTCCGACGTCGTTTGTGCCTCCTCATCAGGCGGGAGGCACTACTTTGCTCTGTTGAGCTGCTGAACCTGCAGGGAGGAACAACAAGCACAAGGTTCACAAGCTTGTCCACAAGAAAGGCACAGAAACTAGGGAGCAATGAAAGAGACCAGCAGTATTGGGCTTTAAGGACAGAGTTAGAAGTGACCGGAGATGTATCAGTTTCAACCTCCTGCTCAAGGCAGGGTCATCTCACTCCCCAGCTCCACGACAACTCAACAAAAAAATGACACTTGAGACCCTTTTGACTTGAGACCTGCCTTCCAATACGGATTAAGTTCTCAAGTCAAGACCCCACTGTAAACATGTCCTCAAAGGCTCTCCTTTGCCTGCCTGAGCCTCCTTCTACCTGTTCTCTGGATAATGGTCTCAGCCTCAACATTTGTAAGGTCACTCCTAGCACTTCCACAGCCCTAAACATCTCACCCGTTCAATACGTGGTGCCTTCTGTTTCCTCCGACGTCGTTTGTGCCTTCTCATCAGGCGGGAGGCACTACTTTGCTCTGTTGAGCTGCTGAATCTGCAGGGAAGAACGACAAGCACAAGGTTCACAAGCTTGTCCACATGAAAGGCACAGAAACTAGGGAGCAATAAAAGAGACCAGTATTGGGCTTTAAGGACAGAGTTAGAAGTGACCGGAGATGTATCAGTTTCAACCTCCTGCTCAAGGCCGGGTCATCTCACTCCCCAGCTCCACAACAACTCAACAAAAAATTGGCAGCATAGATGACAGTTGCAACTAGAAGTGCTGATAAATCACAGAACTGCATCTGAAGCAACCCAATTCACATGTTTCATAGGATGGTGCTATACCTTTTTACACCATTATGATTCCATGGCACCAACATCCCCTCTAATTTTCAGCCTCTCTTTCAACTTCACCCATGCCTGAGTCCATGACTCCGCTCCTGTGGGGTTCCGTCATGACTGAAACCAAAAGGGCTGAAAACAATGGCTACTTGGAGGAGGAGGGAAAGCTGCATGGAGGGAAGCAGAGTCACGCGTGTGCATCTTAAGAGGGAATCTTGCACAGCACGTGAACGCGCACGCACACACACACAGTGTTCATTACATCTCTTGAAATGCAGAAGTTTGAATGCTGGAGTAAGATATTCTGGTAACTAAATCAGGTTCACAAACTGGTACCTGGGCTATAAACAACCAGTTTTAATCCTCAAAGCATATGGGACTAGCAGCAGGCAATCTGCTAGGAGAAAAGAAAACAATGAAGTCCAAATGATGTTGAAGTGCGTAGGCCGTGGCTCAAATCTCAAACAGATGAGTCTCTACCATTAAGGTTAGGAATCTTCAGCTTGTCAATCTAATCAAACCATTGTCGGTGTCACGGATATCCAGAACAGCCTAATTTAAATCTAGAGCTCTTCCTTCCCTCTTTTTAAAGACTCAGGCTATGTAGTTTTTGTGATTTCAATCTCAAGACATCTTCATTCTCGCTCTCACTCGCTCTCAGTCCTCCGTTCCTTTGTCCAACATCTTGTCTTATACAGAGACTGGACAAGATATCCAAGTTTTGTTCATGAAGAAAATAATGCCAATCATGGATTTCTGAAAGGTTCACACGTGCCAGCCCAGTTAACTTTACTTTAAATGTAACTGAATTTTTAAAAATCATACACACTATCTAGTCTACTGTGATGAGAGTCAATGGGTGAATTATTTCTTTTCTGAACTTGTTCTTACAGATTTGCTTCTGAATTAAAAATGTGGACAAAGAATCCTAGTGCTTGTTTATTCCTTCTTGCTTATGTATGGGTGAAGGATCTGGGGAACATAAGAAGAGCCATGTCAAGTCAGGACAAAAGCTTCTCTGGTTTAGCATGTTGTTCACACACTAGCCAACCAAATGCCTCTGAGAAGCCCATAAGCCAAGCTGAGTGTACATGAGTGTATTAGCATATTCTGGAGAAAATTGTATTAAGAGGCAATTTTCTCAAGAATACCAATAAAGTTAATATACAGAAGCGATTAATCATCTTTTCAAGCCATCCAAGTTGCTGGCCATTACTACATTTTACGGTATATAAAAAAAAAAAGCAAGTTAAATCCTGGCTTTTAACCCAGGCCTTTACAAACCTCACCTCTTTGTAGTATTAATTTTGTGGCAATTTTACATTTGCCCACGGTTCGCCACCCTGGAGAGTGCTAGACTGGAGATTTTTATGAGGGGTTTTTATTTTTATATATTTACTATCTTAATTCTATTTGTATATTTTTATTATTTTCTTGGGAAGCCACACAGAGTATTGGCTTGTCCATGGCTTGTACCATGGGCAGGGTACAAGTTTAAATAAAATAAAACAAACAAATGAACGGTACCCAATTCCACCATTCACATGGTGTTTCCTCTAGTCCTTCTAAAAGCTGGTGAGTGAGTTTCCAGTAAAAGCAAGTCCTAAGCAAAGCTTCTAGAGACCACTTCTAGGAGGGTTTGCTCTGGGGAGGATGTTCCCGTCATTCTACACCATGCCTCTAACGGCTGCTGTCCCTAGCTGTGATTGCAGAATGTCACGACAAAGGAACACAATCATCTTCCTGTACTCACCTGTCATCAGAAGTTAAAATACCTTTTATAACATCTACCTTCACCAGATAAGGATTAGACCCAATGATCTCTGAGGCTCTTCCGATAGCTAAGATCCCAACTACCCACCCAATTTGAGGCAGATGCACAAGGCTAAACAAAAATTTTAAAAAACCACAAAAACTCACAGGCAAGCCTTAAAAAACACTGTGGCGATGAATGAGACAAGGAGCTCTGAAAACCAAGGTGCCATACTGACACATCCTTTTTAGAAACAGGAGATTCACAGATCCTGGTCAAACGCACACATGCTTCCAGAGGCTGACTGACTCTCACTCTTACGAGAAAGCCAGTCTCTCTGGAGCCCAATAAATAGCAGAAAGGAAATGGGAGCATGAATCTTTCACCAGCCTCCACTCACAGCAGAGGTCAGTCTTGCCCAAATCATTTAGCCTTCCCCTACCTGCTGGTGGAATCGTCTTCATCTGAATCAAAGAAGCTGGTAGTCTCCAGTTCACTACTCATGAGGGTGGAAGAGCTTTCATAGCCGCCCAGTTCCCGCCGCCTTTCCCCCTTGGCTGTTCCATTCACCTTGGGTGCTAGAAGAAAAGGATGCACAGTTGAAGAGGTCTGGACAAGCCAAAAAAGCCAACCAGATAGACACTTCTTCCAACACAATGAAGTTTCATTTTTAGCTCCTAGGAGATTAACGGCCTATTAGGGACTGGAAGTTTGAGGGACGAGCAGATAATAACATCTTCACACAGCCAAATGCAAACTGAGCTATGCATAAAATGCATATCCAAATGCATAAAAAATTAAGACACAGAATAATGGGAAAGAGTCCACAAAACAGAAACATCAGGAATGTAGCAGCTGTTTTAGAACAGAATTTCCCAGAAAATAAGAAGTCAAAACCCATTTGGGAAAAAATGACAGGATTTAGAAATAGTTCTTATAGAAGGAATAGCACATGCAGTATTAACTTAAAAGTGATAACTTAAGGGAAAATTACTCTAAGCCAATTTATTATTGGCATTAAGAATAAATAATAATCTATTCAGAATAAATAATACCTACAGATCAAACAATGTGCTGGAAATATAAGCTATAATCAATGAACTATATAAGTATATGGTGCATAAATCCTCAAACCCAGGTATTCTGGACAAAAGCAAGAAGAAATACAAAAACAAAACCCAAAACTGCACATTATCTCTGTTTTGAGCCAAAACACAGGTTTTCACTGTCCAGTACTGAAGGCACAGCTATTCAAGAATATCACCTTTAGTAAAAGAGCAAAGATAAAAAATGTCAAAATCTAGAAAAAGCTGAAATCATGGCATGAAAAGAATGGATAAATAAAGTGAGGCAAGTAGCTGAAAGATTAGTGAAAGGCTAAAGATGGGAGACATAAGAATGGAGCCATTTCAGGTGATTACCAGAAAACAAATTAAGCTTTAGAAATCTGCATGAACACACTGGTGTTTCCTAAGTATCCAAAAGTCTAGTAAGGAATCATGTATGTCTTGGCTTACAAATTATTTAAATTCAAAAAAGCATTCTTTAATATTTTTTGCCCGAAGTAACTCTAATTAGATCATTAATGATGTAACAAAAGACGTGGTTTCTACAATGTTTTATATATAATGTTTTATTTTTTTGTATAAGACGCCCCCATGTATAAGACGCCCCTCCCTTTTCTAACCTAAAATTAAGAAATCTAAGGGGTATTTCATCCATATAGCAATGAAATCGCTTTGCGATGGACTTTTTGCCATCGCAAGAGCAATCGCTTTGCCCCCATTTTCAGCCAGCTGATTGGCGGTTCCAAAATGGCCACAGGGTAAACAAAATGGCCACCCGCTGTTTTGACTCGCTTTAGAGGCACTGAAAATGGCAGCCGCAATGGAGGATTTTCGCATAAGGTTAGTTTTTAAGCCCATAGGAACGCATTAAACGCGTTTTAATGCATTTCTATGGGCTTTTTAAAATCGCTTAGCAATGAAATCACTTAGCAGCGATTTTTGCTGCACCAATTAACATCGCTAAGCGAGGCACCACTGTACTGTGTTTTACTGAAATCCTAAAATAAACATTAAAAATCAAGAGAGAATTATCTTTCTGAATCCATTCAAATGGATTGGGAGAAGTGCACGGTTCAGATTTGGAGGAAAAGAAAATAATAATAGAAGTCCATGTCAGTGAACTCTTTCCACTTGTAGAAAACAAACTACCTGAACTCATCTTCTGTTGGACATGTCTTGACACAATTTTTCTCACTCCTTCACTCTTCTCCGAATAATTTCTCTTGCTAACATATGCAAGAGAGGAGGCATGAATGGGCACAGGGCAAATGCAGCAGATTCACTGTTTGAACATTTATTGCTTGGGACTAAAACTCTCAGGATCCAATGTTGGCAGGCAGATTCTGAGAGGCGTAGCAAGAAAAAAAATGCCAAGGCTCTGAGAAGATTAGAGGAAGATCAGAACAAGGATCTTTGGCCTGAAGAATGGGTAGTAGAGGTGGTCCTTTAACACACAGATGCACTCCTCAGAGACCAAAAGACAGCACCAGAGCTGGGCATGCAGGTCACAAAGCTGAGCTAGGGTTTTTTTTTGTGGTGTGTAAAAAGAACCACAACTACATTTAGTTGAACGTAGGGGAGCGAGGACCCACCATGCTCAGGTCCATCTTTTCTACGTGGACGCTCCCTCTGCATTGACACGACGGAGTCTGTTTCAGTTTCATTATCCAAGTTCTCTCGACTTCCTCCAGTGTTGGGACTGCAAAGGAAACAAATATATGAATGGAGACACTGCATGGACATCAACCCATATGTACACTTCTTCAAACTTGCACAAATCAACTTGGGGCCAGTGGCCTGCTCAAACAGGCAGAAAATAGGCCATGCAGTCCTATCTAGCCTTTACTATTACAGATGGCAGGATGGGTGAGGCGTTTTTGGTGCCCATGAACACACATACCAATGTTAAAAACTAAACTAACGAAAAATGCTCAGTGTATATGGAAAAACTAGTAGATCTTCCTGCCAGCCTTCCATGTCCAGAATTTTGGGTTTATTGCCTGTTAAAGGTAGGAGAGCATTCAGAACATCTGGATTCCCATTTTGTTCTGTGCAATAGTCTACAAAGGGTGATACGACATACTATCACTGTACATTTAAACTGGCCAAGAGCGGATGCCAATAATAGGGCTTTCCTTCACCAAGGATTTCTTCAGCTGCCTTGCAAGCTCACTGGCCTAAATCCTGCCGCATAATGTGAACAAAGTTGCAAGTTTCAGTTCATTCCTCACCAGCAAATGAAGAAGTCCTGCTGCACTTCTCAGAAGCACGTATGTATGCACCAAACAAGCGAGCACATGCACAAACATCCCAAGAATCACAGCAGAGCTCTTCATTTATCTTAGTTTATTTATCATTTATCTTAGTTTATTTTTATATTATATGTAAACTGCCCAGAGTAGACACGTTCTAGAGGGGCGGCATAAATAAATAAATAAAATTCATTTACCTGCAAAGAATGCATGAAACCTTACAAATCTGCTTTAATATTGCCACAGGATTTTGGCCACTATTCTCATACTGCCTAGTATTCCAGGTCTCTTTAACTGCTCCCACTGTCCTGGAATACTCCCCAAAACAGAGAGGAAAGAAGTACTTCTCTCTAATGAACTTAGAGAGTGGCACAGTGGTTAAACTGCTGTACTATGGCCAAGAATATGCTCACCCAGGTAGTCGGCTCAAGGTTGACTCAGCCTTCTATCCTTCCGAGGCCGGTAAAATGAGTACCCAGCTCGCTGGGAAGGGGTCAATGGCCAAGGCGGGGGGGGGGGGGGGCAATGGGTAGCCTGCATAATCCACTTGTAAACCACCCAGAGAGTACTTTAAGTGCTATGGAGCAGTATATAAGCAGCACGCTTCGCTTTGCATGGCTTAATACTACCCAGGCTCCTTCAGTAATACAACTGTTCTGAAAATACAATACCCTGATTCATTTAGAGCAGCGGTTCCCAACCTTGGGTAACCTAGCTGTCCTTTGGGACAGCAATTCCAACAAGCCTTCTCTGTGCTGGGCAAAGTTTATGGGAGTCGCAGTCCAAGAACACTTGGGTTACCCAAGGTTGGGCATCACTGCTCTAGAGCACAGAATGACAAAGGGCACCCAACTGACCACAGGCAGGCCAGGGGCCAGTCCCAGACCCTGCTCTTGCTCCTGCTGGTCCATCATTCCTCAAGCAAGGGCGTTCCCCATTCTGCTGCCTAGGCTCTTTTATACTATAGCTATCAGAAGTTAAAAAGACCTTCTTTGTGAAAAGCAACTACTGTATCTTAATTATTTTATATAAGACGCCCCCATGCATAAGACGCCCCCTCTCTTTTCTAACCTAAAATTAAGAAATTTAAGTGGGGCTTAGCAAGTGAAGAGGAAGGAAAGCAGGGATCAAAGCCCTGCAGGATAGCTTTGATCCCTGCTTTCCCCTCCACTTGTTTTTGTTCTTGCCTCAGATTACTTCCGTGTATCAGACAACCCTCAATTTTTAGTCTAAAGATTTTAGACAAAAGTATAGTCTTATACACGGGAAAATACGGTATTTTACCCCATGTCACTGTAAGAGGGGCAGCAAAAATCCTCAAGAGTAAATTAACTTGATACAGGCAACTGTTCCCAGCTTTCTTTGCTGATGCAGTGAGGATAGTGCTACTGTCAAAAAGCTAATCCTTATGCTATTATGCATGACGGCATCAGGCGAAGGCTCAGGTTCTTTTAGCTTAAAGAGGACAGGTTCCTGAGTATATATCCTGCAGAAGATCTGCTCAACTGTTCCCCACAGTGAAAACTAAAGCTGTTTTTTGGACATGTGTGCACACAAACAGAGACATGTATGCCCAAGTTAACTTACTGAAAAGAGGGAGGCCTGGAATCTCCTATGCCTCCAGTACGCTCAATGGAGGGTGGCAATTCCGGCTGATTTTCGGCACAAACAGACCCAGCATCTGAATGAGACCCTTCAGCAGACACCAGCTAGAAAGAGAAAGGACGGAGGGGATAAGTTAGCTGGGACAAATAAGAATGATTTTCAGTTTGGAGGGTAAAGAATGAGTAATGATTCCAAAACTTATAAAATACTTAGGCAACAAACACATGAGATCAATGTCAACATAATTAATAATTGAATGACCACTTCAGAAGGCAATGCTGTGGGAACTTCACTTAACCTGATAGCATTCACGCTCTGCAGTTCAGCAGGATTTCCTTTTATACATATTCTTAGTTAATATTCACATTAAACCACTGGATTGCCTGCCCACTTTCCTGTCCAGAGCAGTTTGTATGGGACAAAATTCGTTACAGGTTTCAACCCCTTCACTGGCACACTTGAGCATACTAAAGGTTCCCCTTGACATTTAGTCCAGTCATGTCCAACTCTAGGGTGCGGTGCTCATCCCTGTCTCCAAGCCATAGAGCCAGCATTTGTCCGAAGACAGATTCCGTGGTCACGTGGCCAGCACGACTAGACACGGAACACCGTTACCTTCCCATCAAAGTAGTACCTATTTATCTACTCGAATTTGCATGCTTTCGAACTGCTACGTTGGCAGGAGCTCACTCTGTCGCGTGGATTTGATCTTATGACGGCTGGTCCTCTGACCTTGCAGCACAGAGGCTTCTGAGGTTTAAGCTGCAGCGCCACCACATACTACCAGAGGTGAAAAGGAACTGGCCTGAAGATGAGACAGTGGAGTCCCCCCTAGCCCTACTTCCCTAATAAAAAAGGTACAATTTATGGAAATGGGCTGCCAAGAGATACCCAGGTAAAAAAAAAGGTAGGGAACCGCTGGGCCAGACCATCACTGAACAGTGTATCTTTGCTGGAGAGAAAACCACTAGTGGCATAGCTATATAACTGTCCTTAGAAAACAGAGAGCTTACATACGGAGGGGGTGCAGCTACCAGAGGTCTCTCTGGAGGATCAAGCTGCAGCAACTTCCTAGGAACCTGCCTTCCTACATGCCAAAGGCTGGGAATCTCAGCCTTTCGAGCTGCCTAGAAGGACTCTGGCTGAACTCTCCCCATTCCACATCTCCTAAAATTAGAGTCAATCTACTGAAACAGCTCCCCACTGTCTGATTTCAGCACCACACACACTTTCCAAACTCATGAAAGATAGCAGAGCAGGTGGCAAGAGGCACAATGCACAAAGGAAGAGGCCATGCCTTAATCCCAGGGACCAGCTGGCCTGTTAGAAAACAGATGGTGGACCTGTTCAGAATGTTGGACATACAAAACCCAAAGGCGATGCCTAGAAACCTCAACATTCTGTGACCAAAATAAACTGGGCCAGTTTGGAAATCTGAATATACTTCAGTCTTCCATTCCAACAGGAAAGTGTGCAGGGTGCAACTCTTGTAGAACGTGAGGTTTTTAAATATTAAAATATTAAAGTGACAGCAGGCATTAAGGACCTTGCTGGAAAGCAGATCTATGAATTTAAAAATCTCTTATCTAACTACTCACAGCTCCAGCAAACCTTCCTTTACCTTGGATTGTTTTGGAAAAGAGAACAGATACAAGTTTAAGGTGTCTGCAAGTATTTGTACTTGTATTTTCTCTCTTCATTAGCAAGCAGAAAAGCTAGGATTTCTTTAGATAAATTTAAATAAATGTATCTAGTTAAAGGAAAAGGTTCCCCTTGACATTTAGTCCAGTCATTTTCAATTCTAGGGCGTGGTGCTCATCCCCGTCTCCAAGCCGTAAAGCCAGCGTTTGTCTGTAGACAGTTTCTGTGGTCACGTGGCCAGCGCAACTAGACACGGAAGCCGTGACCTTCTCACCGAGGTGGGACCTATTTATCGACTCACATTTTTACATGCTTTTGAACGGCTAGGTTGGCAGGAGCTGGGACAAGTGACAGGAGCTCCCTCTGTCGCGTGGATTCAATCTCACGACTGATGGTCTTCTGACCTTATAGAACAGAGGCTTCTGTGGTTTAACCCACAGCACCACCACATCCCTTATAACTGTATCTACATAATTACAAATCAGACAAAAAATACCAATTACTGTACAAACATGTGGCTGTTGCTAATAATTATCTGAGAAAGCAGAGAGACTGCTATCAGACATACTGGAGACAAGGCCACCCATTTCTATGGAAGGGCACAATCCTACCCCTGACAGCAGCGTCCCGGCTGCAGTCCAGTCACTATCTCCTATGGAAACAAGAGCCACTGACTTCTTTGGGAGAAAGAAAGGAGACTGTAACCAGTATTGGCTGGGCTACCATTTAGGATACTGCTATCTGCATAGATGCTTCTCCCCCCCCCCTTCATTATGTCATGTCTCTGATTGCCCCGTAGCCAGAACTGATAGGTTCAGGTGTCTGTTGGTTAGCCAGAACTGATAGGTTCAGGTGTCTGTTGGTTAGCCAGAACTGATAGGTTCAGGGTCTGTGCTTCAAGTTAAGGGTTCTGTGTGAACCAAACTGTATGCTTGTATGAGTGAGAATAAGCCACGTTACTTTATCCTATTCACCTGATTGTTTTATTTTCCTGTGTGTATTTAAAATAAACCTTATTCTTTTTATTGTTTGAAAATCCATCCCTGGTCTGTGTGACTTCTTATAGGGAATGGTTGGTGGCAGCTTAGTTAACGTGTGGCAGATCCCAGTAGGTCTGGGTTTGTCACACCACCCTGCATCCCAGATGTTGGGATGAGCAAGAAAGGCTTGGTCACCCTCTTCGGCAGCCCTTTCGACTGCATTTCACTGTTCCTTCTTTCTCACTTTGGGATTCAAACAGATACACGGCCACTCCACTGCTATGGAACCTAGGAGAGGTATGATTTTACTGCTCTTTACTCTCCAATCGCTTTGGTACAAAACTACGGTGCCTCTGCTACAGAAGCAAAACCGAGAGGGCCTTACCCAGATTCATCAAAACAGATATTTGATGGATTTTAGTTGATTTATTGACACAGAAAAATGCACAGAAAAATACTCAAGTATTTGACTACATTATAAAAGAAACAGCTACTCCATTATTGCCCTGCGAGAGATTACTTCAACAGAAATTTTACCAGTAAAGGCAACCATGCAAAATATTTACACAATGGTTGAAATCTTGTTGCTTAATGTAGTAAGTCACACTAGAGTAAGCTCCTTAATCATTGGGGATTTGGTGAGTAATGTCCTCCATATGCCACTGATTCAAGCTGCTTCCCTAGCGCAGCCCCACACTGGCTGCAACTTACAATATTAAGTTTCAACTAGAGTAAACCCATTTAAATCAATGGAACTTACAGAGGAGCCAAATCGTCACTGATTAAGGTGGTTACTCTAGTCCGACTTACTATACAAAGCAACAAGATTCCAGCCAATGAAATGTACATTACCCATGAAGATGACACAGCCATGTGCTGTGGCCTCCCAGGGCATAAAACTATGCCTCCCCAGTTTTTCCAATCTCTGACAGACTCTGAAATTAGAAATATACTCAGTCTCTCATGGGCCACAATTCATAGTTGTAGTGATGCGTTCAGCTTGGTGAGTCCTACATTTGGTACGATTTTTCTGAAATCAGAGGTGTAGGAACAAACAGGCACTACTATGCCATCAAAGGTGCAACAAACAGCACAACTTTCAGACCTCAAGCCTAGGAGCAGCAGCAGTCTTAACTTGCATTTGAATACATTCAGGGTTCGTAACTGCCCCAGGGCACTTTGTTCTTCAAGCCAGAGCAACGCAATGTGCTGCCCACATGCCACCTTCTAGCTGCTGGAAGTTTTAATAATATATTTTAATGCAAAAATTGAGCTCCGGGAAGAAACTAAGACATGTCTGAAAATAACCATAAAATCAGCGAACAAAAGCAAAAGTTTGATGACACACTAGCAGCTTCACACTAGTGCCAATTCATGTGTTATATTCACATCTACCTAACATGGACCTTGAGACTTTTAGGAGTTGGTGTTTGTTTAAAAACATCCGGATCTCCAATAAAATGGGTTTATGCTTATAATCCATTGGCAAACGCTGAGTAAGAGCGAAAAATGGCTTAGCAGTGATGTCAGAGTTTTTCTATCATTTGATCAGAGTTTTTCTATCATTTGATCAGCATTTGCCATTACATGTTACTGGTCGCAGCATTTAAATTTCAACTATTTTTCCTCAGATCTTTCTACACAAATAATTGAGGCATGACCCAAACCTGGGGAAGCTACATCTTCTAAATCCTCTGATCAGTGGTATAAGAACAGAACTGCCTGGCTAAATCGTACCAAAGCTCAAAAACTAGACCAAAAACCAAAACTTAAATATATGGATTACTAGCATCACAGAAGAAAAGGGAGTTTTCACTTGCCAATAAATGGATAATAATATCCAAGAGATCCCTGTTAATTCAAGTACACTCTATGGAGAAGATACACACAGGATTGCTTCAAAGTGCAACGGTCTTATCTAGTGACTTTCTCTTATGACTTAGATTCCAAGAAGAAAGACAAAATTAGATTTTTTTTTAAAATGGATATTCTCCAGCTTAACTCAGTGACCCAGAACATGGAATGTCATTTTCATCTTTTTACTCTATAGTGGTCGACTTAATTTTGAATGAACCGCACAGAAATAGAACCATTCTTTGGGAAACAAATATCTTTGGGAAATACAAGGTAAAACCTTTTAAGGGAGAGAAACAGGAAGGAGCTCAGATCATTTGACATTAATGCATACGTAAGGTGAGGGGTAGATCAGGGTTTTCAGTACTAGGGGAAAGCCCCACCCTTGCAACCCCATTAATTCTCAGATGTACTCATCTATTTAGCTTCTGTTCTCTTCCTTCCTAACTACAGTGGTGCCTCGCAAGACGAGCGCTCCGTTTTACGACAAAATCGCATAATGACAAAGTTTTTGCGATCGCAAAACGATGTTTCCTATGGGGGAATTTCGCTTTCCGATGATCAGTTCCCTGCTTCGGGAACCGATTCTAGCAAAACGACAATTTTCCTACAGCTGATCGGCGGTTTCAAAATGGCCGCCGGGTTAAAAAAAAAAGGCCGCCCGCTGTTTTCTGGGACAGATTCCTCGCTGCATGGGCAGTGAAAATGACCGCGCTATGGAGGATCTTCACTGGATGGTGAGTTTCAAGCCCATAGGAGCGCATTAATCGGGTTTTAATGCATTTCTATGGGCTTTTTAATTTCGCTTTACGATGTTTTCGTTCTACAGCGATTTTACTGGAACGAATTAACATCGTAATGCGAGGCACCACTGTACTGATGATGGCTGAACCAGTCTGATCTGCAGATGGATTCTCTTAAGATTCTTGCTTACCCAAGATACCACCCGGCCGTTGAAACAAGGAAGCTTTGCATTGTCATCTGAGATTTCTTCCTTTACAACCCTGTAAAAGAAGAAAAAAAGAAAATGTCAGAGTCCAGCCAATCCATGAGGAACCATGAGAGCAGAACATCCAGCTTGGCACTTCTTAAGAGGTAGGGGAAGGACATGGCAAAGAAATTCCATGCAGTATGCTTCAGAACTGAGATGCTGGAAGTTAGAAACCCAAGAATCTGCAAGTGGAATAAATTATAGAAGGCACACATTTTATTGATTAACCTAATTTTCAGAGCTTTTTTGGAAGAACATGGTAGACAACATCAGAGATCTAGAACCACTGGAACCAAGGTAAGTAGCAGGATATGGTGAAACAGAGAAGCTTCTGTGGAGTAAACAAATCTAACATCCTCAATACCAAAATCACCATTGGCTGACACAGCCACAACAGATTAGCATGTTCACATACTAAGCTTTGAGTGAGTTTCAAGCCTCTTCAGAAGTGATACATCTCCCAGCCTAAGGTCTGCAATTCTACTAAAGTAACAACAATCTAAAAACACTAAGTGTCAGAACATTTGACAACATGTGAGGTGGTGTGAGGTATTGAGTTACCTGTTGTTGTAAGTTTTTCGAGCTGTTTGGCTGTGTTCCGAAGGTTTTTCTTCCTAACGTTTCCTAACAGTGCATAAGCCCCCTTCAATCTCTGACTGCTATTTATGATTAAATGGGGTGGGAATAGGATTCATGTAATATTCCTTTTATGTTCATCTATAAATGCATTCATTTATAATCCTCAGAATGTAAGAAAGACAGATGTATAGACTTGCCCACATTGTGCAAACTGCATGACTAAGCAAGAATCTGAACTGGAATGCTTCCTAAACGATGAGATAAGCAAGAATCAAGCTCTTTTCAACACTGACAGAAACTGTTCCCTTTAAAATGATAAATCATGGGAAACTATGATTTCTTGCAGACACCAAATTTACTTGGCAATGTTTTGTTCAGATAGAAAAATTAATTCTTTCTATTGTTGGCTCTGTAATCCCACTCTCCCCCAACCCACAAATGGCATTAAAGCAGGGAAGAATGCATTAATGTAACATATCTGAAAGACAGAAGTCAGAGCTGCATATACTCTGGACTAGGGTAGGGGTGAAAGGCAACATGCACAGAAGAAAAATTGAGAACCCTAACTCCTCACAAAGTTTCTGTACTCTGTGTCTAATTCTGTATTTTCCTTCTATTGCAGAAATTCGGCACTCAATTGCACAGACAGATTTTCCAGGTTTAAGCACCACATATTTTTTTAATGAAAAATCAAAGCAGAAATCTTCAGGACTATAAGATCACATGAAACAAACAGTGCTTTCATGAAGCCAAAGCTCAGAGCTGATCTTCTGACAGAAGCGAGGAAAAAAGTATGGATTGTTATTTTCAGCTTGGCCACCAAAACATCTAGATTGGAGAGCTTTGAGAGCTTGTGGAGTAGTAGCTGTGCATTTTTACATTTTAAAGTCCCTCTTTAGGCACAAGAGGAAAGAAGGAGAGGCAATTATTGGGCAGTATGAAGTTTTGGGGCAGACAGGCTCAATATGTGGGGAACACAAGTGTACACAAGTCTGGCCAGGCTCAACCTTCCCCTAGCAGACAGCAAGGAAATTAAAAGTTCTCTAACTACACTCCAATTAACTGCTTTAATTTACTTCCACCCTAGCAAATAATAACAGTCTCTTTGCCAGCTGGAAACACACAAGGAACAAGTATAATCTTTTGGGTCAATGCCCCAGAGTGGGGAGGGCAGCAAGAGTTTTGAAGGTTGTACGTATGTCCAAGTTTCTAACCCTCATGAATGCAGAAGACAACAGAAAAACTGCCAAAAATGCACACATATTACTTTGGCTCTGGCTCATTTTCAAAACTGGCATGAAAGGAAGTTAATATCCTACAGTACTGTTAGAGCCGTGGTGCCAGAGCCGAACAAGAAAACAACATGCTTTGTCAAAGATCAGTCACCACACGTTGTAGAGTTATTCATGCCACTATGCCAAACACATGGCAGCCACCGTAACTGCCACACAATCCATGGTTTAAAGCAGCACTGGGGACAGTCATATATTTACAGTAGTTTCTCTCTCCTTTCGTTTCTTACCATCTTTACCGTTGAGACATACAGGTAGATAAACACAGAACATGAGCATGTTTCCTGAGACCAGTGGCACGGTGTTTGTGAGATTTACCTCTAGATTAAGCATGCACGGTGCTGCAGCCTTCATTTTTCAAGGGTGATATGGCACACAGAATGCCTTTGTAAAAAGGACGTTCCTTGCCAGCTTGCTAATGAAAAGGAGCTTCAGATTCAAGCAGCAGCCTCCCACAAAGTCTCTCCCATCCCAACTAGACAGTGGTACCTCAGTGGCTGCAGGAGCACAACACAGAGTCTTCAAATTAATTTCAGTAGGTTGGTAGTCCAGGTTCAACTGTACTCTTGGCTCTTCTCACTAGGAATTCCACATACACAAGAATTCCTGTTTATAAGATGAATTCCATATGCTATGCGAATAATAAATTGCAGACAATTTACAGTGGTGCCTCGCAAGACGATTAATCCACAAGACGATCAGTGTTGCGTTTCGCAAAACAGTTTTTCCTATGGGCAATTTTTGCTAGACGATGTTTGGGTCCGTGCTTCGCAAGACGGTTTAAAAAAAAAAAGACCGATGCTTCGCAAGACTTCCCCCCCCCCCACTGGAATGCATTAAATAGATTTCAATGCATTCCAATGGGGAACCGCATTTCACAAGACTTTTTTTTTAAGGCTGATGCTTCACAAGACATTTTTCCCCCCATTGGAATGCTTTAAATAGATTTCAATGCATTCCAATGGGGAACTGCATTTCACAAGACAATGTTTTCTATGGACGATTTTCGTAAGACAACAATTTTTTCCCCACTGGGATGCATTGAATAGATTTCAATGCATTCCAAAGAGGAACCACGTTTCACAAGACGATGTTTTCGCAAGACAGCGATTTTCGTAGAACGAATTAACATAGTCTTGCGAGGCACCACTGTATTAGTAACTTTAACTGAACCCATCCATGCATCCTGCATTCATATAAACCACAGAAATTTTTGTCAAGTCAGGACGCTTCAATACTACATTGACAGGAGCAAAATTTGTTTTGTCACTGCTTGTTTTTTTTCCCTCTTACTTGCCAGATCCCTGTTTTTAACCAACAAACAACCACAAAAGCCTACAAACAACTATATTACTGAAACAAGACACGAGGGGGCATGAGAAAATAACAAACCACCTTTGTAAATCTTGGTGACTTGCAAGCCAGATGGATAAAAATTAATTATTTGTGTTTTTTTCAAACTCAATTTAAACTACAATTTTTAAAACTGAGTTTCTGATTTAAATCTGATTTTTAAAAAATAAATAAATAAATCGTAGCCTGGAAGCTACCGTATTCTAATCACGGGCAATCAAGTGACTGGCTGCTTAGAAGCCTGCCGTATGCTCTGCAAAATCTGAAAATACTTTTAGGATAATAAGAAGCTGCTACAGTGGTCACGAACCACACTGGTGACCAGTTTTCTGGTTCTGTACCTAGTCATTAAAGTAACTGCAACATTCCCACTGTGGTGGCAACAGGCTTTCAGCACCTTCTTTATTTTGCCCTCCAGTGCAGACAAATGGTTGCGATCTCACTGGCAAACCCTCACTCAAATTTGGCCATACTTCAGGCTCTGGAATCAGCTGTAATTCCTGAAGCTAGTTAGGTCTCCATCTGATCATAAAGGCCTACTATCAACCAGAGTAGACTCACTACTTCAATGGAACACACAACTTACTAGCGTTCAGCAACAGATTCAAGGGCTCTACTCTAGTTGGGATTAGCAACCAGTTTAAAGCTCCGATGTCCAAGACACCACATTAACCTCTTATTACTCCACCAATGCTGTACACTGAAAATAAATCTCTAAAGAAGGACAGCATGGAACAGTAATAAAACTTTTTTCAGAAGAAAAAAGAAAATCTTACATACACAACCTCCTTCTAAGTAGTTAATTAGTATACAAAACAACTTAGTAAAGGAAACGTTCAGATGTATTGTTTTGTCTTTGTGCGGGGGGGGGTGTTAACATGTTCCCTAAAGCTTTCATGGGGTGAAGGCATGACAAATCACCAAGTGAGAAGCTACACAGAGAGAATCTGCTACAGCTGTTTTCGACTGCTTCAGCGCCAGCCTTGAAAAAAGGCTCTCCAATCAGTCCTGTCTCTGGTTTAAAAGCAGGCAACTTCTCCTGCCAAAAGAGAGCTGAGGTTGTGGAATGTGCTTTACTAGCAAAACAGCTCATTCCTGGAAACGCCTCAACTCAGTAGGAGGGCAAAAAAAGAGATGAGGAGGGAGAATGAAAAGAGAGCCTTGAGCTCTGTAGAGCATGGACATCTCAGAGAAGAATAACCACAAATCAACTGCCTAACCACCGGACTCATCAGGCCAACATTTCTGCAGCTTCAATTAAAAAACAGAAATACCTGGTTCGGATAAAGCACGACAAGATGGCAAAGTTGTACCAATTTAATTGAATGCGTCTTCGTTGCTTGCTTTCATGGAATATTTGAAGCCTCTGGAAGCGTTCCTTATGCAGAATGATTAGAGTCCATAACTTCAAATTCAAATAGGTTAGGTGCACCGGTTTAGGAATACAATCTTACTGATATCTCCAGTCAGATCAGAGCCAGCCAGTCCCAATCCTAGAAAGAGACAGTCAACTAACGTGCAAGACAGCCAGGGGCAGCAAACATACCTCCCACATGAAAAGATTGTTGGCTAAGGTTACGCAAATGTGGATCCTTGGTTGGCACTGCATATTCTGTTTCTGCTACTTATGCAGCTCCATCCAGTACTAATGGAAATCTAACTGGGAGGCTACTAGCTTTAGACATTTCACCTGCCATTATTTTCACATTTCTGGAGACCATCTTCGTCTTTTTTTGAGGCAGGAGTGCTAAAACCAATCTTTCTTCTTTAATATTCAGAAGAAAAGCAT